AAAGATTTTTAGGCATAATGTAAGTTTTGAAAAAATATTTACAAAACCCAACATAAAAGGACATTTTAAAAGAATAGTTTGTCCATTTAAAATCTCTTGTAGTTCTATTGTCCAAAGTGAGTAAGATACAAAAATCAAATTATAGTTGAAAGACTTATGTATTTACAAATTTAAGGTGCTACTGCTTACAAAGGTAACTTGGTGCTTAAACCACATTCTCAAAAACGTGTACAGAATTTAAGGTATTCAGGTGCCAGTCATAGAAGTGAAGTGTTGCATAGCCACACATTTGACTAAATCTCACGGGAATTGAGGGGTCATTTATCAGAACTCACCACACATCCTAACCTTTATACGATGAGGTAGGGAACTGGACACTACTTGGAATGCTATTATATGTCACAAGAGAACATTGGATTTAACTAAAAAGAGACGCAGATAACTTGAAAGGGTTGGTATCATAGGGCCTGATTCTAAAAAACACATGAGAAAGAAGTTACATACGAGTAGTTCAATTGAAACCCATGGAATTAAATAAAGTTACTGTGTGTTTGCAGAATCAGACACCAGCAGTACAGAATTAGAGCCTTTCTAATAAGACCTTGAACTTAATTCAATTTAAAATTTAACAAGCTAATTTATGGTCATTATGTTGTCTGCTTTTTGCATATTAGCTAGTTTGGACAATGCAATTGGAGTAATTAAACCAAAGTCAAGTCAATGAGCGTCATCTGGTTCTCATGCACTAGCACAAAGCTGCTTTCTTTGGCTACAATTACTAAAAACAAGTTTCAGAAAAGAAAAATGTATTTGTTTGTAAAGGTGGTGGTGACTATTAAGCTTTACAAACAAAACAAACTGGTTGAATGTCCCTTTAACAGAAGCAGAGCAGACACACAACACATTTTACACATGGGTGTGAAAATCTGCACCCATCTCAGCATAGTCACACACTGGTACGTAGATGAGGCCAGAACCTCAGCTGGTATAAACTCATGTAGTTCCATTTACAGAACAGGATAATGGTTTACAAAGTTTAGCCTGTATGGTATGCAAAATCTTTGAAGTACATGTTTACTAACATGCTTCACCTGGATTCTTGATAAAGAACATTAAACAAATTGTTTTCTCTTAATCTGCTACTATTTGAGATATAGGCTAGGGAGAAAAGATAAAGGCTTCAGTTGAGATTTGAGAAAGGAGGGAGATTTAGTGAGACTGGTAGAGGGCCAGATTGCCAGGTGGTGTAAATTGGAATCTCTCAGTTGAAGTGAATGTAGCGATGCCAGTTTATGCCAACTAAGGCTCTGGCTCAAGAAGTCTCTTTCCAATGTCCGGGGCACAGAAGAGAAGTCTTTCACACACTGTGGCGAGACTGTAGTAAAGCCAATGTTGAGCACATGGATTGAGTGGGGAAGGAAGGAGAGGGAGAGACGTCAGTGTTGTTGTAGACGGGAATAAGCAAATGGAAGGGAGTTTTGAACTGGAGCCTGAGATGAGTGGGGGCCAGTGGAATAGTTTGAGAATGGAGCCATGTTGTCACAGCTTTTTGCGTGTAAAAGTGGGCAGCAGCTTACTGCACCCAGGGGGACTTGAGAAGGAAGTTGCTATAGTGAGGACAAGAGCAAGTTGAGGCATGGATGAGGATTTCAGCAAAGGTGGAGGCAACAAGTAATGACCTAGTTACTTACTTTACATAAAATAAAAACAGAGAAAGGGAATCTCACCTGTGTCCTGACTACAAACCCCACTCAAGTCTGGGGAGAGGCATGGCGGAGAAGGGCTCTTCTCAAAACCAAGCTATGAATCCCATTTTTAGATGTAGCGTGTGACTTATGAAAGTTTTGGACCAGTTTGTCATAATACATGCTCATGATTGCTCAAGACTGAAAGCCTTTTGTTTACAGTACTGCACAAATAAGTAACTTGCGTATTCTGCTATCAGACGTGTTGTCTCCACATTAAGAAACAAAACAAAATTCTGTTTCCTTAAATAAGTAGTTTAATGGGAGAAGTTTAAAAATTTACTGTCTGTATTATGTATCATGCCTTGGGGCTCCAGTGTGCTAGGTACTGCACAGTCAGTACTAAACAGTCCCAGCTCTGGAGAGCATACAACCTAAATAGACCAGACGGACGAACAGTGGGGGAAAAGGGATAGAACACAAAACAGAGTGATGGGGTGCAAATGGCATGTTAGTGCCACAATTTTTGTCTGGGGAGAGGTGGTGATTATGGGTGTAACTTTGAGTGGGGTTTAGGTATTTTGGGAGTTAACTAAACAGATAGATAGGTGAAGAGAGGAGTCATTGAAGGGAGGGGGAAAGGGCAGGGGAGATGAAATTGAGGAATGCGGAAGGCAAATGGAGTGAGGCTGAGGTGACCACCAGATGATGGGAGGGGGCAGGAGGGGTTGGGGCAAACAACCAATCAGTGCAGGGCAGAGAACGACCAGCCTCAAAACTGTGGCAGTAGCCCGCTAGTATCATCAATCCAGCACTCACTGTGAAGCTCCTTTTAAACAGTTTCTCCTGCTGGCTTGAGTCTTTGGCTGGCTGCCTCTTTGCATTGTCTTCCCTTCTTTCCCAAATGCTACACAAATGGGAGTAGGCAGAGGAGGAAAAAGTTACCGCATGGGTACTAGTGCCCCCAAAATAGGCTCTTCCCTGCACAGCTCTGGGCCCAGAGGGTACTGTGGGGAGGAGCAGCCCTGGCTGGTTAAGTTAAATTAGTTCTCTGAAACATTTAACTCATAAAAGGGCCAGAACCTGAAAGTCTGGAGGAAAGCTGAATAATTTATTATAAAACAAACTGACTTCAGCAATTTACACCAGTTGAAGATTTTGGCCCTAAACGAGAATTCACTGATATGTCTGGTGGGGAAAAGCGTTGTAGTAGAATTATGCTTCAGACCTTTCAAACTATGGAAATTCAGGTCTACGCATTTCCTTACATCACAGGACTTTGAGGATTTGTTAGATGGATATCTGTACAGCACTTTGAACCCGCAGTGCTCTGTTCACCCCTATTGGTTCACACACCCCAATAACAGCCCCTGCACACTATGGAAGATGCAAGCTGCTCCTAGTATTACCAACCCACTGTTCAAAAATCATGAGTCAGGGATTGGCTAAAAGTCATGATAAAAAAAAAAAAAACCCCGAATGGTTTTATTTGCCTTCTGGTGGCTGAGCTTTAGCATGCGATTGGGTCACATTTTCAAGCTTTTCTGTAACCACAGCTCACTTTTCCCCCCTTTCCAATAAAAGCTG